CGTGATCCTTGGGTTGTATGTTCAAATGTGTACCTTAACATTCCCTCACAGATTTTACGCCTAGAAAGTTGAAGACAGGTGTCTGCATTCTTCACATATGGAAGGCTCAAAACTGACAACCTGACCGCTTCAGAAAAGTGATTCAGTTTCTAAGCCCGATTCCATTGCCCATTGGAGTGTTTGCATCGAATATACAGTTGATCGATTATGCCAAAACTGAAAATTCAATGTAAAGTTTGAACTGAAAGTCACAATTTGAAAACATAAGATGGTCATTGGTGGCATGGTGGCACAGTGGTTAGCATTGCCGCCTTGCAGTGCTGAGGCCCTGGGTTTGATTTCTAGGGAGTTATCTGTGTGGACTTTTATGTTCTGCCTTTGTACATCAGTTTCCTCTTGGGGAAATTTGGCCCTAGTGTGTGTGTGTGCTTGTCTCTGTGTGCCCTGTGATAGACTGGGATCCCGTTGCTTTCCTGGATAGGCTCCAGCTCCCCTTTGACCCTATACTTGATAATTGGGAAAGTGGATGGATATTCTGTGGTTTAGGCAGCCACGTATAGCATCTTAGTGTTCCTCACAGTTCAGAACATCACACTTTTAATTCTTTTCTTCATTACATGATGATGCAATATTATGGTCTTGGAATTCTCATACTTGTCTGAATTTCAAGGGGACTCGTATCGTCACTGTAAAATATAACTATAATATTGTACGACCAATATAATAATAATTTAAAAGCAGTTCTGAAACTAAAATCAATTTGATTTAGTTAACATACTAGCCTATGACCTGAAAGGACAGTAGATTTGTCATGTAGACCCAGGGTTCCCAATCCTAGGATCTGGTTTTTATTCTAACTGATCTTATTTGCCTAATTAATGCCTTAATTGAAGTAACAGATTGATTGTAATATGTCTAGCTCTAGTGTAGAGTTTGGGATTTTATTTTACTTACGTAATGAAGCAGTTAACATCCAACATGTGTAAGAGCTGAAAATGTTCAAAGAGTTCAGATTAATCCTCTGATAAAGTCACTTGAGAATTTAATTTTGTAACTGAGGGTCTGACTGGAAATAAAAAAAACAGCAGGTGTGGTTCCCCTGGGACCAGGATTGCCATAGAGCTCTGTATAGAACTCTTAATATTAGATTATATAATGCAATATAGACTTTGAAAATCAAGTTAATTTAAAATAAGTTCAAGCACATTAAAAATCAGAATACTGCCATACTGATATTATTGATTTTTAATCTATTAAATTTGTGCTGAATTTTTTTTCCCTTCTGAATTAGTGTATAGCTAACAAAAGTCTCCAAAACTGGTCCTTAGAATCTTCAATGCAGTTGAAGTCATCCCAGAGCATGTGTAATTTAAAAACTAGGTTTGTTTATTTAAGCAATTGATCGACAAAGTTATTAATGTTTCAGTGAAACATTGGACCTTGAAGGTTGAAGGATATTCTGATTTGTGTTCCAATGTATCTCTTAATTATTTGGATGAACACACCACTTGTTTAATTAAGCATAGTTAAATTGTTCCAAGCCTTTAGAAATTGATTTGAAGGCCACCTACAGTAAAAATCCTACTGGACTGGGACTCTCCAGGACTAATGTAAACCTTTATTTGTCTTCTGGAAACTTCCAAATGTGATCTTCAGTCATTTTTCAGCTCTTGTTCCATGGAGCTGAGACTTGAGTGTCGAGTTTTTATTTAAAAAAAATGCAAAACAAAGCATTGTACAGTACTGTATGTGAGGAGTAAGTCACAAATCTGAGAGTGTGGCATTTTAAATGTATGCTTTGGTGCCCTATAGTGTGATACAGTGATCTTACATATACAGTAAATGTTGACTGCAACATTTAAGGCATTCTAAGTACAATACAGTCTTGTGGGACCTATTACAATAGTTATTCAAATAAAAACAAGATATCTGCATTACACCATATTCATAATTCTAGGGAAGTATCGTTCTCAGTTTGATTAAACAAATATTTTACTTCAACTATAATTGTGTGCATCTGTTCATTTGTGGATACAGAGGGGTGTTATTCATTATTTTTCATACCTATAAATGTCCTAGGTCATTCTGTTCCTTGCTTATCCATGAGCCTTAGATGGGGTGGGGGGTGTTCTTATTGATATTTACCTTCAAAGATCATGTTCTTGTATTATTTATCAGCCTTACTAGTTTTTAGATGCCAGTTTTCATCATGCAAAGGTTACACAGCATGAGCACCTCGTTCAGAGTGACCCAGTGTTACTTCAAAGCTGTTCTGATTGCCTGTCTAAACAAACTCCCACAGTGCAATCACTCCCAATGTTTGATGTGTGAGGGGTATAAAAAGGCTAATAAAAAATAAATTGTGTCTGCATTGCATGTACAATGTGTGGTATGTGGAGGTCTTGTCCACGTGTACATTCTGTGGGTACAGAGGGGTGGCATGCATTATATTTCATACGCGTGGTTCTAAAGTGACCTGTACAAATGTATCAGACCGAAATAGTTCCCCTGTATTTAAACAGCCGAGTGATAAGAAACAGTGCAACACAGATTTGATATCAATTCAAAAGGCCAAGGAGGCAACAACAGTGCAGACCTTTAGAGATGTGGTGTAACAAGACACGATTAGGTCTGGCAGGTTATTCATTTACTTCAGCTGAAACTTGTCAGCCAGTCTTTAGTAAGTTATAAGCATTTTGTAGCTTATGGTTCAAATTGGCCCGTTACCGCATATCTCTTACCTGGGAAACAAAAAACACATTTTTTCAAATGAAACAAATTGCCAGTTTTTTGTAATTTAATAGTAGCTGGTAGGACTATAATTTGAACAGGGTTTGTCCTCATCTCCCATGATGCTGTTCAATCTGCACCAGTCTTTCCAACATTGGTCCAAACCTGGTAATGTCTTACATTTTCTTAATATTCTGTGAAATACCTGTTTGAATGGTCAAATAAAAATCAGGAAACCACATATTAAAAAGGACAGAATTCTTGCTTTCAGGGTTTAGGATTGTTTGACTCATTTTAGTGCATGTTTAACCACAGAAGACACCTTTTTGCCCATCTTCAACCCACTATGACACACTTGCAACCCCGTAAACACCTACCCTTCGGAGCTGCATCAATTGTACTGGGAAAAATAAATAATAAATATAGCTGAAAACAACAATGATCAGAGGCTGACTTGGCCTACATGGTGATGATCTCTACTACCCACTGATGGTTTCCAACTTTACAAAACTGTAGCAAAGACAAACACTGCAACGTACATACATTTACATAAATTTGCTTTAATGCTAAGGTCAAAGGTAAGGCTTTTTTGGATAGAGTGTATATGGGATCCTGTGTGAACTCCATTAATAATAATAATAATAATAATAATTGCTTACACTTATATAGCGCTTTTCTGGACACTCCACTCAAAGCACTTAACAGGTAATGGGGACTCCCCTCCACCACCACCAATGTGTAGCATCCACCTGGATGATGCGACGGCAGCCATAGTACGCCAGAACGCTCACAACACATCAGCTATCAGTGGGGAGGAGAGCAGAGTAATGTAGCCAATTCATAGAGGGGGATTATTAGGAGGCCATGATTGGTAAGGGCCAATGGGAAATTTGGCCAGGACACCAGGGTTACACCCCTACTCTTTTCAAGAAGTGCCCTGGGTTTTTAATGACCACAGAGAGTCAGGACCTCAGTTTTACATCTCAGCCAAAGGACAGTGCCTGTTTACAGCATAATGTCCCCCTCACTATACTGGGGCATTAGGACCCACATGGACCAGAGGGTGAGCGCCCCCTGCTGGCCCCACTAACACCTCTTCCAGCAGCAACCTTAGTTTTTCCCAGGAGGTCTCCCATCCAGGTACTGACCAGGCTCACACCTGCTTATGTTCAGTGGGTTGCCAGTTGTGAGTTGCAGGGTGATATGGCTGCTTGACATTGTCATCACTTTATAATGAATTCAAATAAAGATAAAAGAGTTCACAGACTACATGCAAAACCTTTTTTTCATAGAACATAGTTTCATATATGTGTCCCATTGTAACCATGACCCTATGTGCGCTATGCATTCATAATGTAGTTTTGCATGTGACATTAAGGAGAGTGCAAAGGTCAAAGTCAAGAACATTGAGATCAGGTGAATGCAGCTGGAATATTATATCATACACTATAGGCCTCTTACACTCTATGATTTTCTGTGAGTCTATGATAGTCTCCCGGATTAAATTAGTGCTACAATACATTCAAATACATAGAACACATACAGCTCCTGAGGATCATATTTTTTATGTAGTTATTTCCCTCAAATGAAACATACAATTTGGCTGAGGTTATGAGTAGAAAGTAAAGCATTGTCAAAAGATCTGTGCAGAGACATACATACGGGTTAAGCCTTAAGAACAGCTTCAACAATGCCTTGAATTTGGGGAGACTGATTTCAGTTACTGCAGTGATACCCTTGCCTACATCCTGACCAGTTATTCCGGAATCGCCGTCTGTCGTCTAGAATTGGTGTTTCTGCCTCACACAACATTTTATGGATTTATAGTTACATTTTGGAATACTTGAAATTGTCCCGAAAACATTTAAATAACCTTTTCTGGGTCATTTTTGACCTCGCGTTGATTTCAGAATGTTTTTTTTAAATAAAAAAGTGAATAGGAACGCTGGCAAAACAAATATATATATATATCGTTCAGTAAATTTGGACTCGCTACACTTAGATTAGAAGCTGATCTGCACTTCAACACACTTGTTGAGGTTCGTTTTTTTGCAAGCGCTACATTCAAATAATATTGTACGACTAGGGATACCTTGGGATTCTTATATCCAAATTCTTTTTGCTGTAAAAACAGGTTTTGAAGAAAATGTAATTGAAAATAATAAAACAAAAATAAAAACTATTTTATTGGTAAAAAAAAAAAGAAAACAAGCAGAAAACCATATAGCATTGTAAATATATTAGATTTTTTTTTGTATTTCGGCGCTTATATTTTAAGCTGCATTTCATAGAAGGACTTGCTCATTAAACATTTATGACTGAAATTGCTTCTCTGGCTGACTGACTTCACCGGCTACACGGCACACATTTCCACAGGTGTCCGCTACACGGTGCTAGTGAACGAAGCCGGAGAGAGTCTGCGGTGCTGCCGCCCGGTGGCGCCGACACCCCGTGGTTTTCAGTCCCCGGGTTGCATGTCAGGATGGCGGCGGCGGCTGGAGCTGAGGCCGCGGCCAGGTGTTTGGAAGAATCGTCAGACAGCGAGCCGGAGCAGGAGCCCGGATCTCCGCAGAAACTGATCCGCAAAGTGTCCACCTCCGGCCAGATCCGAAGCAAGGTACTTCATCAAAATGGACACAGAGCGGGGAAGTGTTGTAGCGGCATATACGACAGGCCGGGGGGATGCCTCGGTGTTTCCCATTCCTTTCCTCCTTGCTTAGGGGGATCTCAGGCCTGCCTGCTGCTCTGTGTAACTTTCGGTGCTGGCTGTGCGATTTTTTTTTCCACAGGGGGTGTGGATTTGTGCACAGAGTCCCGTATCCAGAAGCGCATGAAAGGTCTCTTTGCCGGAGCCAATCTAATTATGTTTCTTAGTATCGCTCATTGAGGTGCAATGTTTAAGTTAGTTAAATATTCTGTCCAGGCTTCTTTATTTATATTTTGGTCACAGAGCGGGGGGGACTGTGCTTCTACAACATTTTGTACGCACAATTACATTTAACCATTTGATTCGCTCCCGAAGTCAGGCTAGAGACCGTTGTGCTTTAACCGCAATTTCAGCTTAGCCACCGCTACGCGTGGGGGAAAAGGGGCTTTGCGCTGTCTCTCGTGTTAGTTTCTCCTGCGCTGAAGGAAAAGTAAATTAGCTAGATGTCTTTGGCAATGAGAGCGCTTCGGGAGTCGTTGTGTCGCCGGTGTCTGATGCATACGCCGGTATAGCTGCCTGTCGGCTCTGCAGCCGAGCCCTGCGTCTCCCTCGCCGGTTCACCGGTTAATGATTGAGAGACCGGGGCTCTTGCGGCGATTCCGTGCCGATAAGAGCAAAGCTCTGACCGCGGCTATTTTGCATTTAGTATTTGAACTCGGGTACGGACAAGTTAAGACATTGTGTACTCTTCTCGGCGATATTGAATATAGCGGTGCTGCTGTGGCGACAGTGTCGGGGGGCGGCGGTAGCTCCTCTACAGGTTGCAGGAAACCCAGAACTAGCGCTGATAAAGATTTTCTCAGGCACCGGTGTATAAAATTAAATTAACCCTTAACCTGGGTCTTCGGGCTAATAACGCCGTGAGCATCCGGACTGCATTCTGCTGCAGCGTCGACCGTAAAGGCTTACGGCGACATATTAGTTTATGCGGCAGGGAATACACGTTTTCAAATGTCTTTTTAAAGGATCTGGGGGTTCCAGGTGTACTTAAATGTACCGCTTGGGGAATGGGCTATCGGTGGTATGGATGTGGATGGACTGAAACCGTCGTAGTGTGTATGCAGTCCGAATAATACGCTGTATCTTGTGCGATGTATGCGGTAACAAAAAGAGTACTTTGTTACCATCTCTTGACTTCAGTTATAGTACTCCAACGCCCCCCGTAAGTCCATTAATAAAGAACAACGAGGGGCCAGTCCCTGTTATAAAACATCATCCAGTCTCAGCGCAGGCCTGGGAATGGTATGCGCATTCCTCGTGGACTTTGCTGCCTTGTCTTATTATTGTTGTAATGCTTGTTTTCGGCGGGGATTAATCATTCTGCCTATTTTTGTGCAATGCGAATGAACGACTAACGAGTGTACCCATCCTGTGCTAAATGAGAAGATCTTAATGCAAGTTAATGGAACAGTGTCGTCCATTCGGAAGAAGTTGCTTAATAATTCTCACACGTTTTGGAACGTGTCCAGTCAGGACTGAAGTCCAGTTTTGAAGCCCTTTTTAGTTTTTATTCTTTTTAGTACTGCCTGTGATTAGAACACAGTGTCCCATTTTTTCCCTGTTCTGTATGTTCTTCAATAACCACTCAGAATTTCAAATGAAATATAATTGATATGTAAAAAATGTTTTCTACTTTGATTTTATAGCGTAGAAGTTTTTTTTAAAAGCAAGTGGTGTTTCCCCAAATACTGCATATAGCCCTCTGGCACAGGATAATCTCAGTCGGCCTTTTTTGTTAGATTTGGGAATTTTACGTTTCAAGTCCCTGTTGGGCTTTAGATTGGGTTCTAAAGATGTACGATTGACTGCCTGTTGTGCATTGAAGCACAGAAATGTTCAAAGTCTTCAAGCAAAAGCTCTGCTTTACTGCAAAACCACCGTCAGTGCTGATCAGTGTATGTCTATGTAGAGAATATGTACAAGATGCATGTGTATCTGTTAATACATGTAATAGGTTTTTTTCATGCTGAAAAAAGAAGAGAGGAAACAACTTTTCGGCTGTGTAACCTTCTTTGGGTGTGGTTGTGACGATGTTCTTCATCACACCCGAAGAAGGCTCCACAGCCGAAAAGTTGTTTCCTCTCTTCTTTTTTCAGCATGAAATAGACCTTTACTTGCTCCTTTGCAGCCTATGCATGCTGACGCAGCTACCCACCAGAGCGATTTCTGTTAATACGTACCTAGATTTGTGCTTACAGGTGTATGCATGTATTTTATTTCCTCTTTTCTTGCTTGGACCCACAACCTTCAGCTCCAGTTCCAGTTTTTAAGCACCCAAGGGGCGTGACGTTTCTGCGGTACCGAGCCCACCCTTTTTCCTTGTCCGCAGTCCCACCAGCCCTCCACCCAACACATTGGAGAAATTGTTGAGATTTTTAATTGCCTTCCTAGGCAGCTCATTTGAGCTTGAAGTTGAAGCTTTTGATGTAGCAGAGGAGGAAGGGTAGACCGCACCGTCGCTGTCGAGTTTCCTGCTGCAGGGCCCCGTGTCACTGCAGCCTCGGTGGCTGTAGGGTGTGGAGTGGCCCTCTCAGCCTGGAGAAGCAATGCACTCGCAGGGCCAGTTTCCGGTGTTGTTGTGGTACAGCTTCCGCATGCAGAGCGAGGGTGACCGGCCCTTTTGTATCACGGAGAGGACTTTGAGCAGGGAGCACCGCATGGATCATAGGAGTTGCAGTGGGGAGGTGGGTTCTGTTCATTTGGATTCAGCTCGATTGCTTGTAACATAAAGTCCGGACTATAGAAGATCTTCCTGCACCCTGTATCCTGTACCAGGTTTTCTGGTCATCCCTGCCTTTTATCTTATCTTTAAAAAAAAATGATTCTAATGTCACAGGATGGCAGAGCCTTGAGTCAGTTTTGCTTGGTCATGACACTAGGCATGAACGCTTAAGGGTAAGAAAGCACGTTTGGGATACGAGCTAATATTGTACACCTCTGCCGTCTTTCCTAGTCCACATGTTTCTAAGCCATGTTAGGTAACATCCTGCTTGATAGCAAATACTCACACTTTCAGGTCTCTGACTTGTGCAGTGGTCATGTAAGTTATAGGAACATAGTACGTCTGACTAAAATGCATAGGTCAGTGAATCTGCACCTGAATTAAGTTTTTTCAAAACATTTTGTGTGCTTTACTGGAGCATATCATTTGGGATTGTTCTGTTTCCTTTTGCTCTACATCTGCAAAATCAATATAAACTGGAAATGTATTTGCTGTTATCAATGTGACAGACTCATAAGATTTCATATATCATGTCAGTAATGTAAAACTAATGTTATCAACTGGACTAGACATTAAATGATTAATAGGCTGTTTTATGTTACTGTATTTATGTGTATTTTTTAAGCATTTATGTTTCAGGGGCTCTGAGAAATCAAAGAAGATGGCGATCACATGGATCTGACCTTTTCTTTGGAAGAAATATAATTTTGTACTTTCTGTAAGATCCTTATCAAAAAGGCGAATCTTGATCAGAATTATCTAGGCACGTGATTGTCAGATTCACCCTCATGGGTTTAATGCCATAAACACATTACTGTACAGGATGACTGCATGGTAAAAAATAGTAGTTCAAAGCCTTAGAATACAGACCTTTTTCCTTTGCAATCCATGAAAATAGATTTTAGCTTTAATGTGATAAATGTTTGTGCACTTTCCTAAAGGCACTGGCTTTGCAATGTGTTTTACTAATCTTGTACCATGAAAGGATTAAGCTATTTTGTTTGAAAAGAAAATTAAACACGTCTTTGATCATAAGGGATTTGCAATTTAATTATGTTCACTCAAAGGGATGAAAGGTTTGGCGTGTGAATTTCTGAGTGGAGCTCATAATGACCTTTTCCATTTTAATCAGTTAAAGGAAATGCTTTCTGTAGGAATGTGATGTGAAGGCATTGGACAGCATCTTGCCCCCATCGGTGAGCAGAAGTGTACAGTGGTGTCAGTCTGGTGCCGTTATCAATGTAGGAATGGTGGAAGAGAATACTCTTACTAGACAGTGTTTTGATCCGATTCAAGTTTTTTTAATTTGCAATCTGTGTAAGAACTAAAAACTGTCTGCTGAATTTGTTGTAGAGTAAATTTGCTGAAGCATATACATGAATTTAAATGTGTATTTACATTTTATGTTTTGTTAATAAGAGCCTGTCTATGGAAAACCTTAAATGGACCAAACTACTATGGAATAGGAGGCTTATTTCCATCCTTATGAACTGCTTCTTGTGTGTTACCTGAACTTGGCAAGGTGTCTGAGAGGTGTTCCAGCTTCCATGCTGCCCTGTTACTCATTATTGAGCCTGTGCTGCCATCTTCAGTTTTGAGTTGCACACTGTAAAGGTTGTGCTTTGAGTATCAAGAGTGTTGCATGGCCAGCCTGTTACTGACTGGATCACTCAGCATGGAGCTCAGGGGGCCTTTCTGCGTGCTTGTGTCCCTCACAGCGCAAACCCTCATCTGTCAGCTTGGCAACCTGGGCCGGCCGGAAGAGGTTCCCATAATATGTCTTCTGTTCCTTCTTCAGTAGGTCTTGGCTGCAGGAACTCTCCCATGACACCTTTGCCAGCTTGAAAGATCCACTCGTGTTCTGTAGCTGATCCCATTAGATCTCTTCCTTTTTTTGGGGTTATGTGACACCAAAGCCATCTTTGCCTTGGTGGAAGCAAGAAAGAAGTGATTTCCAAGTAAAGGTCCTGTAACTCTGAGAAGACATTGCAGCTGCTGACATGTCTTTGCTATTTTAGCCTAAGCCCCCAGGTGATAGATTGCATTGATAAAGGACTCTGATCATGACTCAGAAGAACAATGGTACATTCTGACTTGGTGTGCGTTTTGCGCCAAGCGTGTTGACACAGGAAGTGACACAGATTGGCTGAGGTTCTAAAATTAGGTGGAGGGGTTAAGTTTAGGCCTGAAAGTTAAAAATGGGTTACTGAGCAACAGGAAATATCGATATGAAGTAAAGAGGGGGAGGAGAGGGAAACGGAAATGTCCTGGCTGGGGAGCAAAGAGAGCAGCCTAATTATAGCAGCAGATAAGAAATTATGTGGTGCTTTGTTAATCGTCTTGCTGGTAAATATGGCACCACATTATGAGTTTGCTCTTGCCTTTTCAGAGAACTTGAAACAGAAAGGGGCAGTACAACTTGTTCAGAGGTCAGGGAGGAAGTCGATGACTTTCTCTCAAATTTCTGTGCCTGCTTTCAGAGTGTTAAGTAATATGCACTAGATATACGTAGAGGAGTCTGTCTTTCTCTCGTTGTGTTAGGGTAATGTATTATTCCAGCCATACATCTTTTTTTAGAGCGAGATGTAATTATATAGTGTGAACGGTGATACTTTTGTGTTCATTTGTGTGCTGCCTGTATCGTATTGCAAAGACGATCCTTTGCGTACAGTGTTGCGAGGCTGCATCACTAGACAGCCACTTCTAATGCACTCCACAGGACTGTAATACGAACATTGAATAATAAACCCGTGGTGCATCATTTATCAGTGAACTGGCAACCCGAGTGTCAGTCGAGGTCATCTGTCTACCTAGTCTGTAGAGTTTTTTTCCATTTGAAGGCTTTGGCCTTTGGGTCTGTATTATTTTTGTGGTTGTGGGGGAGGGAGGTGTTTGTGTCTTTTTTTTTTTCACCCACAGCTAATGAAGCAGTGAAAGTGCAGTCTCTCTCTTTCCTGCCTGCAGCTTAGTGATACTTGCCTGGTGTGGGCATCACGCAGGATTGATTTGACCAGACGAGAATTTAAATATGGAACAAAAAACGCAGATGGAGCGAGAAGGAGTGTCAACAACAGTCAGACACGCTCTTTAACAGTAGCAGCAGTGTGTTGGCAGTGCTGGATGGGCTAATTTGGAGGTGTAAACCAGTACAGTCTGTGGTGTTTCTGTAGCAGTACGATACTAAGAGACAGCCTGACCTGCTTTCACCATTAGTCTGTGGGATGCACACACGTGCTCGAGCTTGAAAACATTTTGACACCACTGGCATGGATCGAAAGCGCGCCTAACAAGCAGACGAAGATAAGCCTCTGGCCGAAGACTCACAAGGCACACAGCTGACTTAAACAACAGGGCTGTAACACCAAGACAAAGGCCCAATTCAGCAGCAACCTCAGGTCCAGCTTAGCAATAGCAAATTTCTATATGGATAGCATGTGCTGGTAAGATTCAACCTCTAGAATCCATTAGGGAGAGCTATGGAAAGCCGAGTAACATACAAACCTGTTGTACCAGAATCTCCTTCAAATGCAGAAAAGCTTTAGCTAAGGTTCTGCATTATTAATCATTTTTTAATGGGTAAATCATTTTTCTGTGAAGTGATTTTGTAGCTTATAGCTCAAGATTGCACAAACGTTTTTTATTTAGGTTGAGTTCAGCAGTGAAATCCTAAGCGCTTGTCTTATGCTCAGATGGGACATGTGGTACGGTTCTCACCTCTTCACTTCCTCTTTTTCAGACCATTCTGAAAGAGGGCATGCTGATGAAACAGACCAACTCCTTCCAGCGCTGGAAGAAACGGTACTTCAAGCTCCGAGGACGGACACTCTACTATGCAAAAACGGCCAAGGTAGTCTTCCCTGCCTCCGTCTCCTAGTTGTCTGGTCACTCCATGGGAAGTACTTTCCGCTCCTTCGTTTTTTATTGCAGCCTACTGAAAGATAAACTAGGATAGTAGCAGCTCATGAACCCTGTTGGAATGTCAGTCTCTCTAGGAAAGCACTTGTCATTCCATTTTGCATAAACTGTAGGTACAAAAACTTTGTGTGGTGAGGCAAGCATACTAGTGTTGCAGTGCAGTTGAAAGTAATATCAGAGACTTGAAGCAAAAAAACAACAAAGCTGTTGTTTTCAGCCAGATAGCCTGCCTTCATCAAAGCCTGATATTTTCTCCCTTTCGGTTCTTTAGTGATCCAGTGGTTAAAGTTACCTAATTTGCCATTAAGAAACCCTTGCAAAAGTCAAAGGGATTCAGATCTGGGGAATATACTGTAAAAGCCAGGACCAACTGTTACCAAAGTGTTCTGTATCGCAGTTTAATACCAGATAGTTCAACCAAAGGTACACATGGGCAGAACAACAAAAAAAAAAACTTGTAGCACAAACTCTGCCAGTGGTACCAATTCAACACATCAGAGTAGCTCTGTGAATGTGATAAAAATAAATACCACACTGAGAAGTCGAAAGACGTTTTGACTGTTGAGTCCTCTTCAGATGTGGGGGAAGAGAGAACAAATGAATGGAAATACGGGGGAGGTGTGTGAAAAGTGAATGGGAGAGGTTCTGGAAAGAACTATCAGAAAGAAGCCTGTCATTAGACTGTTTTGTGTTTGTTAGACTATTACTCCTTTTTTTAGCTTCAGTTTCTTTTCTGCCCTGCAATGCTCGTCCTGAATTGCTCCAGTAAACTACCCAGATGTACAAAGGGCTGCAAATGTAAGTCTCTTTACTGGGCAGAGCGGTGGCATTGTGGCTAAGGATCTGCACCTTTGGCTGGAAGGTTGCTGGTTCAAATCCCGCAGCTGGCAGAGGGATCCTACTCCGTTAGGCACCTGAGCAAAGTCCTTAACCCCAACTGCTCCAGGGGCATCTAATAAATGGCTGCCCCTGCGCTCTGACCCCAAGCTTCTCTCCCTGTCTGTGTTTCTCATGGAGAGCAAGTTGGGGTTTACAAAAAGACAAATTCCTAATGCAATAAATTGTATATGGCTAATAAAGGGATCTTATCTTATAAACATACAAGCCTCAGCCAAATAAATGAGTAATTTTGAGTTTCCTTTTCTTTTACAGATTTAAGCTTTTTACACCTCTTCCAAATCTCTCTCTGTGATAGGACGCTCTTTCTCACCTGCTATGTCCTTTGTTTTCATGTGTTTATAATCCCCACAGTTTTTCTCTTTCTCATACTTGAAGAAGACTCAACAGCCAACACCTCGTTTTTCCACTCTTTCCCGCTTTTCAGTGTTGACATCCATTAAATGGTCAGTCCCTCAGTCTGTCCTCTCTTGAAGACCCTGTCTGTAAAAGGAGAGCTGAGACCTTCCGCAGGTACTCAAATGGCAAACGCCTACTTTTTGCCACCTTTCCCATGCAAGCTGACGAAGTCGTTTTGTCTGTGGTCTTCATCCCGTAGTCCATCATCTTCGATGAGGTGGAGCTCACGGACGCAAGCGTCGCGGAGTCCAGCACGAAGAATGTCAACAACAGTTTCACGGTGAGTTCTGCCGTCCTGCTCCCGGCCCGGCCCGGTCACAGCCTGCCTTACTGACGCCAGGGCCCATTTGCACAAGGAGTGGTGGCGGCGGAGATGCTTCCAGATGGATCCGCTCTGCCGGTTCTGCATGCTGCTTTGATGGAGCTCGGGCCGAGTGTTTTACATTCTGAAAAACTGCAAGGTCCAGGGCGCAAATGGTGTGATGCTGCAGAATGAAATAAAGAGATCTGGTGCCATAATCAGGTGAAGAAAATGGCCTTCCTTAGTAAAAAAAGAAGTAATTATGTAGCAGGGCTCAACTGGCCTTTGTCTGAAAGCCTGGAGTTTGTAGGGAGGGGGAGTCCAGAAGATGAGTCTCTACTCCCAAGTATTGAAAAGACTTGTAGTTCTTAGTCATAGATTTGGTATTTAGTGAGTTTAAACTGACACTGCCCTGTTGACTGTCCAAGGGGTCTTGTCTGCCAAGCTCAAGGGTGACTACGGGAAGGGTAATGCTGCCTGCATTAGTATTTCATGACTGCCCATGTGCAAAACATCACCAGTTAGCGTTACGTGATTCTCTGCCACATTGTGATTCCTCCAAGTCAGTAAAGCAACATTTTTCAGAAGTTACACTTTGGATTAGGCCAGTCTATCTGGATAAGCAAGGAACCCCCTGAGCAAAGATCCCCACGGACCATAGTCAGCAGATTATGAAACAACTAAGAGGAGTGCTCATAAGGAAACGGCTGGTGATGTAAGTGAATCCCTCGCGCTGCTTAATCTCATTCTCCTACACAGATGCACACAGACGTCCAAAGACGTCAGAAGACATGCTTGGGTAGATTTCATTACATGATTTCAAACATTAGGCGTCCCGTACTAATGGAGATGTGAGTAAACCAGTAAAATAAGATGTCAGTTAAGAAAAACGATGGACCATAAATGCAAAATGATGGACCAAATTCAGTATTGGCAATTATAAGCAGCAGAGCAAGGGGAGTGAAAGTAAATGATGTTTTCAGTTGTGTGCATCATCATTTTCAGCCTTTATTGATGAGTTACTAGATAACTAGGTACTTACTAACAGCAACCTCGCAGGTCCCAGAAATAAGTTTATATTCAGACGTTACATTTCTAATGTAAATGTGCTTATGAAATAGTGACAAAAACTAGTTGTAGCATAGAAGAACCATGTACTTAATATTAAAATCGTGAGCCCCAAAGGAAATGTCTGAAATACTTGGTGTTTATACTCCAACAATGTACTGAACGGCTTCTTAGGGCAGATAAAAAGAGACCAGTCAGCTTTTTCCTTGTCGTTTTTCTTAAGCCAAAACAAAACCGCTGTCCCATGAAAACAGCTTTCTGTGGGTTGACATCCTGGTTGTTCCGGGTTCGGAAAGAATTACCAGAAGTTTTTTGGGAGGGTTTCACCGACGTCCGAATTTGCAACCCAAAGCAGTACAGTGCGTATGCAGCAGTGCGATTTGTAACGACCGAAACGCAAGAATTTTGACGCAAAACTGTTGTGAATGAGTGAAGTCACATAAAAAACCTTGAACTGAACAGTAATGTAGGGGATGAGATTGGCTCCCAAGGAAATGTAGGGTCACCTTTTTGTTTCATTAAGAAACTGAAAGCTGGTTGTGTCTTTAATTTCCCTGGTTTAGTTCCATTATAATATTCTTCCACTGGAGCACCTAGACCACAGCAAGTTTTGTCACATCCCTGTCTCAGTGTGATACTTGTCAGACCCTACACCTACAGTAGTCTTACCTGCTACACTGGTAAGGTGTGTAGCCCATTTGTTTGGAGCAGAGGAGCTGGGAAATGAGGAGTTTATTCAAGAGGTTGCATCTGGAAAATATTGTCAGAGTAGGGGGTGGTTGGTGGGGATTATTCTTTTTAAGTGCAGTCTCAACTGAATTGTACAAACTTTTCAAATATCTTTATTTCATTGTCTGAAAAGAAATTGCCACCCACACTTTATGTTTAAGGACAGCTGAGACTGGTCCTGAATAACATCCAAGTTATAGTCTCTATATTTAGAGTGGAGATGAGAGGCTGCATTTTTGTAGCCCTTGGCTTTGCAGCTGGTGCTCATGAGTGTATCCGTGGAAAAGGCTTTCTTTGCTAAAGTAGGAAAAAAAAACTTACATTAGATACATACTTCAGGGGAAGACAGAAGTGTTATTATTCAGCAGATCCATTTTGCTGTTTATTGCTGTACAAGACATGTTTTCTTCTTTGATACCATGGACTGATTTAAAATATTCTTAAAAAGTGGTTGCAAAACAGGGTTATTCGAGGCTGTTGGTTGGATGGGTTGAAAACTCCTCTGAATTCCTTTCAAACAATAAGGTGCTTTTATTTCATATGGGTTATGGAAAGGTAATCGAAATAATCTGATTATGAGCTGGCCTTTTTAAAGTCCCACAATAATTTTTTACTTTCTACCCGCTGTGCAGAAATCATTTTCCACTCCAAAGATGTTTATTACAGTTTTACCCAAAATATCTTGTTGAGAATATTGTCAGAATGTATCAGTGCTGATATAAAGCATACTATGTTTTGGAGTGCAGAAGAATGCTTGTACTTAGTTTGCAAGCCAAAAACATTTTGTTGTGCAGTGTTCTGAATTTTAAACCATTTTTTTTCATTTTCTTATCAACATTTTTTCTGTTTTTGAATAAAGCCAGATTGTTGCATAACACCTAATATGTTCACAGAAAAGAGGAGTGCCAAAATGAAACAAAAGCCCCTATTATTCAGAAAGGTCATTGCATAAGATTTCTTTATATTGTTCATTAGTGTTGCTCTCATTCACAGAAGTTGTGCAGGTTCCAAGAATTTGAAAGGCACTGACATGGACATCAATTTAGTGTTTATGCAATCAATTTCCTGTCGCTGTCTTTAGACCACGAGATTCAAGTAACCGGCGATTCCCTGGATTATGTCTGATGGGGGAGTTTTATTGTAATGCTTTGTTCATTGAACAATTGTTCATTTTCAGCAGAACTAGGTAATGTACAGCCAAGAATATGAATTCCTAAGTAATTTCACTTTAATAGTTATCTGATATTTCTGAAAAATAGTATAATTACAACGCTATTGTAATTATTTGTTAATATGCACAGTGTACTGTACAAGTGATAATTTGTATTATTGACGATTACAATGAGAGTGTTTTCTGAAAAACTAATAAGATGTTTGTTTCTTTAGTGCATTCCAGTAAGCAGTAAGAATACCAAATGATTTATCATTTATTTATTACTACTTCTGTCATATTCTCAATTAATCAGCTTTAAAAAAAACTCTTTCTCAAAATGTTTAGAGTGGCTCAACATTGCTTGCAATAGTCTGGGTGGGTGTGGCCTAGGTTTAAACATGGCCAATGCAAGCCTCCTTGGAGTGCTCAGAAATTCTAAAGTGGGTGGCTCCCTTGGACTCAGCCCCACCCCCCTGCTACGGTTGGCGTGACGACAGGATGCTTGTGAGTCACCATGCCGGATAAAGGAGGAGTCAATTCCAGTGTCCAGACTTTAGGGTGTAAAGTTTAAACTAGCTCAGCAGATGAAAGCTCAGCTGCACTACCTGACAAACCTAAGGGAAAAGAAAACATCAGCTTGATGGGCTGGGACTATTTTTGTTTAAATAACGTGTTTGCCTGAGAAATACTGAATTATTCTTCTGGAATAGTTGTTGTCTTCAGCTAAACTGCTGCGCTCAGTCAGGTAATTCCATTCTCTCATGTTCCGCTATACTTGGCTTGTTAATTACAGCTGTGGCTTTGGAAAGTAGGGGGTGAACCACCTCTCCAGATAGTTATGCGGCTTGCGGAGGGAGGGGTAAACGAAGGTAAAGAAAGGTTTGATTATGCGTTTCAGACGCAAGGATAAAAAAAAAACTTTCAGGAATGTGGAGGGGGGCTTGAGGGAGGGTGGGGGAGAGGTGCAGTCTGTGCTCTGTGGTAAAAGATTGCTTTTTAAATGCCAGTAGTCCTTCTTCATAGTCTCTCAGTGATAAACGATCTGTTGGTGCCGCAGAATCTGGTGTGGTTTGTGGCACGGTGCTGTGACCTATGTATGTTACATTTCCTTGAGAGTGCTCTAATTATAGTCCAAGTAAAACATTTTTTTTAAAATAAATGCACATCCACAAGGAAATTTTGTTAATATCCAGTTACCGAACTGTTCATATTTCTGCTGATGCAGTTCTTAGTTCCAGTTCCAGTTTTGTTTTTATAGGTATTACTGATCATTGAGAGAAATGCATGTATTTTTCTCAGATTTTGTGCTCCTGTAGTTCTGAGCTGCCACCCATTACTATTGTAGTGATGTTTGCAGATATCTAACCTGTATAAAAAGATCAGACGTCATACACTAAGGTAAGTTTCTTTTGAATAGGTTAAAGATGTTCATACTGTATGTATTTACACAACCTTGTAAAATGTGCAGAGTGAAGAAATAATTGTTTTGTTAATGTTTGTTTGAATTCAGAATTCCAGAGAGAAGTATTGAGGAACTGTGCCAGTTTTAAGATAACACTATTATTGTAGAAGGTGGGGTACTGTTTCCTCTTTCACTGCTTGATAGAGTGCAAGTGATACCCAGCATGTTTTTGTTGGATAATTATAATTCAGTTTTTTTTTTTACCTTTTCTGGCTGGGGGTTCTTTTTTCCAAAGAATCACTCTCATTAATGAGCCCCGGCTGTTTCCACTTGATTGCATTTATTAATGGAGTCATTAATCCACTGTTTTCTCAGTAGATGTGCTATGCTTCTTGGTTTTGTACATTGTTACACTTGGGCTGAAAAGTCACTCCTTTTTCCTGGATATAGATAGGGACACCTGGGGACCCACAGGCCCTTTCATCGGCAGTTCTAATTAAAATGCAAGGAGTTTTGACTAACAAAGCAAGTCCGTTTTACTCTCTAAACTTTTTGTTTGTGGTTTGTTGAAAAACAAAAAGGCGATGGGATTCCTCAGTACAGATTAGATTCAGCTCAGATATCCACGTCTTGTGCCTCACACACAAACCTAGTTCAGAGCACGTGCCTGAGCTGGTCTGTATCCAGTAATCACAGTAATCACAGTAATCCTTGCCAGTCTCTGCGCCAGCTGCATCCTTAAAGGGTGCTTCATATAAACCCTTCCTTTCCTGTTATTTAATATCTAATTTGCTGCATATCCTGTCTTGCGTCTGCTGTCTTTCGTTAGCTGCTGTTTTTACCCAGTTTCATGGCCGGGCTAAATTTAACATTCAAAGAAGAACAGATTGTGAAGTGCCATTTAAGCAGATAAAGCCCTCTTAATGTATGCCTGATTTTGTGTTGCGGGGAGTTAAATCGGCGTCCCTCTCCATAGCAATTTAATCCAATTCGTGGTTTGCAATTTCAAAGGTTTCCTTGAGACTGTAGTGATGAGACAGAAGAACAAACATAGGCCAAGTGTTTCATGGGGTTTTATTCCTACACACCCATGAAGATATTAAATAAACACGTGCTCCCTACTAGTATGCAAGGGTTTGCAGCTTGTGTAGTTACTGCTTTGTAATAGGAGTCCGATTTTCACCTCTCTTGTTACAACCCCCCTGATACCATTTCATCTTGTCTCGACAAGAGCTATTCTAACGTGCCACTCGATGCCAAAACGTGGGTTAAAGAATGTTGCAGGTGTTGCAGCTTGGATCTGATATACTGTGAACGGTTCAGGGTTTGATCATGTGTAATAACTGGTGATTTGGTGATTTTGGTGGTTTTGTTTCAGTGACTTCCTTCCAGAAAGTAGAACGGAATGTGCTCTGCATGAAGACCTCTGTTCTCATAGTGACGTCTTGCAGAGGAAAGGTTTTATGCTGGTTTTTTTCTCCTTTCTAATTTGGCCAGCGGTGATGAAGTCACTCCTTCAGCGAATTTCCTCCCCATCTGCTCCAATGTTCCTCTTCTCATTCCAGTCATTGTTGTGTTCGAATCCCATGTTCAGTAACAGAGCAGCAGGCATACTGGTACTGGCTACTTAATCGTTTTTTTTTGCCTTTGCTTGCGTCATGATTAGCTGTCCGAGAGAATCCAGTAGGGTGCCATTTGGCTGTTGTAAAAGTAGTTGCCAAGGATGTATAAAAACTGGAGAAGAATAAGTTCAATGGAAGAACAGATGAGCTTGACATTCTCTATGTGTGGTTAATGTTATGTGTTAAGTCAAGAGCATTAATATGTAATCATGCTTTGTTCTATAAAGCTGTAAAAATGTGTGTGAAGCAACGCCACGACTTAAAACAGTTTCTTATTGCAGAACGTAATAGAAAGTGGACAAAGTCCTGTGTGTTCTTTCTCCATGTAAACCGTTTTTTTCCCCCCGAAGCCTTGGTCTTTAACGACATTGATACAGATCTTGTGATGCAGTCTCAGCCCAGCTAACCAGGTTGATGTGACACAATTTTGTTTCTCGCTGAACATTAGTTCACATTTCCTGAAGATTGTGCCCTCTTTCCATGTGGGGATTCCTAATTGATCAGTCAGGGTCAGAATAAATTTATAGCCTCATATTAGCGACTGAACATTTTATTCATCATCAGGATTAGAGCAGCCACTAACAACCTGTTTGATTTCTTAGAAACGCAACTCCCCTGTTGAATACACATTCTTCATTTTCCCACTTTACAAGAAAATGTAATCCTCTCTGGTGGTATAGATGCTATGTGTGGAAGATCTTTTCATTCTCTAAAGGGAGAAGGGGCATGCTAACAAATCTGTGCACAGATCGCGGGGTCAGCTGCAGTCAGAGGTCACTACAGTTCCTCAGAACGCCGGAGTGCCTGGGGAAAGATGGGTGACTATTTTTACCAGCCTGAGGAACAGAGTGCTCTTTGTCTCCCGGCTGGAGAGAGTGGAAGTCGATTAGCATGCTGACGTCCACGCTGTTTAAAGTTTCTTGCCTCTTTCCTTTTCCAAGCATGTGATAGCTATACTGAATACTGGCAGCACATATCGGCTTAAGGTGCCATAATTTTAATTTACTGAACATCAAAAGAATGTTATCACTTATAACTGCAAGAACTTCTGAAAGTTATCAGCAGAATGGCAAGATCTTTTCTGTATATATGATGTGTGCTGACCATTGAATATACATGACATGGATTAATGAATCATGCGGATCAACATTTGTCATCAATAGAAATGATTAGTACATCTCCTGTGAAAGTCACAAGTTGATAGTTTGCATTATCACAGCAGGAAGCAATGTAAGCTACACAAATGAAATGTATGCTTTGCACCATATTCCAGATGTGCCTTAGATCCTGGACAAGCACATACCTGTTCACTGGTCTCTGAGCCGTAGATGCCACACATTGTCACTGTTCAACCCCCAGATGTTCAGTGTGAATCAAGCCGGTTGTGTGGGATAACTGTCTTGTGCGTTCTCCTGCTGGAATGTCGTCTCATCAGGATGATCCCACAGGAAGGACAGCAGATGAGGTCCCAGGTCTTGTTCAGTGTTCTACAAGTGGAGTTCTGTAGCAACACGACACTCCTTCCCAGACCATCACACTTGAACCTGCTTGTTGATTAGTCTCTTTAGGCAGACAATTAACATAGTTCTGCACATCTATGCTATACTTACTGATTAAACAAATGTTGGCAAAAAATCCTGATACTGTACCTCCTTAAAGAGGTTCTGCATCTGTTAGCAAATCCACCTAGACTAACTGAGTCCAGTCAATTTTCCAGATGCAGGAAGGTGGTGTTTTCTCAATATGTGGGAAAATTGGTTCCTTTCTGTATTTTACTTTGTTTGTTTGTTTTTTTTCACTTGCCTCTTCATGCAGCAGGTAAAATCGCTTCATCACCTGTATCCGGTCAACTCTCTCACTAATGAAGTCACAATACAAACATGCCATGTACAATAAAAACCTAACTACCCAGCATCCACAGGAAATTAGGAGTGTCGAATATTGCACTGTTGCAGGACACATACGCCAGGGCCAATTTTCCCAGAAGCCACTTAACAAGCCAGTATGTTATTGGAGTGTGGGAGGAAACCAGAGCACCCAAAGGAAACCCTTACGAGCATGGGGAGAACATACAAACTCCACACAGATGGCAGCACAGGATTTGAGCCCAGGGTCCCAACACTGAGGGAAGGCAATGCTAACCAGTGCGCCACCCAATTCTGCAAGCATACAGAGGCAGTTAGATCCCAACAACGAGCACAGAAGAGAGGGTACACACACGAGGCAGTGAGGATCAAGACTGAGGCTGCAAGCAGGGTGTCAAATGGTGTAAATAGATTTCAACCAAAATTTAGGCAAAGATGATACACTGTGTCTGTGCTAAGATGGATGTAATTGAGCTCTCCAGATGACAGCCGCAACAGAAAGCATAACCCGATTAGAATCGGCCGTTTTTCCGAATAGCATAGGATGATCATTTATGGTCTTTGGGAGAAAGTGCTGATTAGTAGATCATTTAGGTAACTAAAGGGCTGGATTGTAAAGCTTTTGTTGTGCTCTATTTTCTTGTAATGCTTAGCATGTAATCACTGTATACATTAGTATGTTTTAGAAATATAATGACTTGGCAATGGAAAGGGCCAGTAGTGTGTGGCGGGGTTAAATTACGTACTCCTAAGTAGTAAGGACGGTTACAGACCAGAGGAGCGATTCAGCCCACCTGGCCTGTTTGGTTGTTAGTATTTCACTGAGTCAAGGATCTCATCCATCTGATTTTTTGAAGGAAGCCAGGATATCGACTTCAACAACGTGGCTGGGTAGCTTGTTCCACACTCCCACAGCCCTTTCAATCACATGTTTTTTTTCTTATATAGCACCTTTCAATCCAGAGTGAGCAAGGCTCTGCAAGGCTCTTCCCTGCGTAGACAGAATCTGACTTGTTCATCCAAGAGCACATTAAAAGCTAAGATCTCACCAAGCACGTCTGGAAAACATGCTGATGCCCATGAAAAACCTGGGACACTTAACTGATGTGAATGATTTCAAACTGACTTTACAGACGGAGACTGCTGAAAGTCATAATATTCTTTTGCATGTGGTTGGCTTAATTTCCCCTACTGATTGTTGTCGTATGAAAATGTTGAGAGCTGTACTTAACTTTGCAAGCTGGCATTATAAGTACAGAGTGCATTTTTTCATTCAAAAGACAAATGTACAAAGAATCCGTATACTAAGCTGTGATATTTCAAACATTTCTGTGACGTCATTACATTCGTTTTCCAGTCCCGTTGGCGTTCTCGTATTCGTTATATTCTGCGAAAATGGCGGCTGTCCAGTAGCATTGCGTAGCTGTGGGTGTCTCTGAGAGTTCAGAATGTGACCCCGGTCGGCCCCAGGATGCCTTTCCCACAGATATTTGGCAGCCATTCTTTAGCATTTTCTACATTAACAGCATTAGACTGTGAGCTACAGCACTGAAAATATGCCCCCACTTCAAAAGCTGCTGTTGAGTTTCAGAAAGCTGGGATTTCTGCCCAAGTAAGTCCGCCTCTACCTCCCTGCGCTACATCTGTCGAAATTAATTCTGTGCTTCTCTCTGCACTTTGCCGTTTCCCCAAGTGTGCGAAGTGTACTGCGGTGGTAGGACAGGAGTGCCAGATTCGTTACGCACACCGGCTCAGCTGCGGTTTCGTCTTGACTTTGGACCCTCCTCGATCTCCCATGAGCCCCCACTCAAGCCCCTGCCACCTTGCTCCCTTTCCAGATCATCACGCCGTGCCGGAAGCTGATCCTGTGTGCCGAGAACCGCAAAGAAATGGAGGACTGGATCGCAGCATTGAAGAGCGTTCAGAACCGGGAACACTTTGAGGTGAAATTAGTCCCCACACACACAAAAAACCCTGCCCCCATCCCTGGTGGTGCCAGAGCCACCTACTGTCTGAACTAGCCCATTCAGCTTTCATCTCTTTTATTTTTAAATGCAGGCCATTTAATCTATAAAATTTCAAAGCATGTTGTGACCCTTAAACAGAAGGCACAATTATATGTGTAATTAATAAGAAACTTCCTGGGAGAATACAGTTCTATACACATTTTAGATATCTATCTAAATAACCACCACTAATATATAACGCCAAATTTATTTGCACACTCAAAGCAGTTTTGACTGTGATGGAGAGTAAGTGAATTAGGTAAGTGATTTGTCTGTAGGCAAGTAACAGCTATTGGTCTTGTAGCAGTTTTCTGGGTCTTAAAGATGTTAATGATTTTGGGACTGTGTGTATCTCTGCCATGGTTGGCCATGACAGAGCAGGTTCATTGTTTAGATGTTGCGTTCGGACAGGCATAAAATACGAATCCAGATGCGATGCCCATTTGAAGGGGTGTCCCAAGGGGAACTTGAAGAACACAGGGGTGCAAAGGAAATGTGGGCTCTTTAAACAAGAGAGAAAAGTCTGACGTATTCATTTTGTAAGCGGACACTGGCGCTGTTTTAACTCATTTGATTCTTTCCTAGCTGTGAGATGTTGCGGCGGTGCTAACTGGTGCTCTGTGCTGTCTTCCAGTCCACCCAGTACAGCATGGACCATTTCTCAGGGATGCACAACTGGTACGCCTGCTCTCACGCGCGCCCCACCTACTGCAACGTGTGTCGAGAGGCTCTGTCGGGGGTCACCTCTCACGGATTGTCCTGTGAAGGTATGGTATGACTGCAGCACAATGCGGCTAGGAGCAAGCTTCACAGACAGTGTCCTACTCAGAGGCCGGAACTGTAGTCAGCATAGACTAATGGTCTTGCAAATCCACTTTGAAGAACCAACACATCACTGACTGCTGTGATTTTAGGGTTCGGTGGTTGTATTTCTTTGCGTTCCCTAGTTGTCAGTTGTGTGAAGAGCGATCTTGTTCCTGTTAAGTCCCAGTCTTTTCTCCGAGTGTTTTCAGCCTTCGTTTTGGTTTCGCTAAAGGGCACAGCCAGTGACGTGTGAGGGCACATCATTTTATGATGATAAATAAGCTCCGTGGTTCTGGAACACAGCTTTGACGTTGTTCCTACTGCCAAGCGAAGTCAGTGGGCATCTTGCCAGTCTGTTTCATATAAAAAAAAACTTCCCAGGTCGGTCAGTGTTCTTTAGAAATGAAATTTGTATGGTTTTCTTACAGTAACATTGAGTCATCCTTTTGTGTGTGGTGGCCTTATTAGGCTCAAATTTAAAAAAAAAGGAATGCAGAGATGATAGGAGCGAAGAGTAGAATCTGTGTAACATCTTTGCCGTTATAGTCAGTAATGGGTATATCAAATACCTGTTTGTGAAGATACTGATGGACTGAATTTCCTACACTAATATGTGATTTAATATCCATTCCTAGAAGATTTATACTTTGCCCTGTTGTATTGGTGTTTCAAGCCTCTCCTTGCCTCTCGCCCTTTGAGCTCCACTCTGTTTTTTGCACTCTGAAGTCTGATATGTAAGGTGTTTGTTTAACAGGTCACTTAGGGTTTGCTCAAGAATACTGCACCTTTGATATACACCTGCCTGATTTCTAAACATGATAGTTTTGGAATCTGGAAAATAATCACATGGTATTGTAAGCTGCCTCTGTACCTCATGATGAGAGAACTGTTCTGCCAAGACCTTTTTATAGTCTTGCAACTATAGCAGCAGTATTGCTATGGACACGAGCAGGATTCATTAGCAAACAGGGTTAAGAACAAGTAAGACGCCTTGGTGTTTTTCTTTTGATTCATGTGTTCCATTGCAACACGTGTGTGCAGGTGCACCAAGTCAGATCTTTTTGATGACTGTTTTTTTTCTGATGCATACTGTGCCAGTTTTAAGATAACACTATTATTGTAGAAGGTGTAGTGATTTGGGGGCGTCTGCACTTCTGATTGTGTACTTTTTGTATGTGTTTGTCCTTATTGATTTCAATCAAGTTTAGCATCCACTCAGTTCTTTCTTGAATAAACAGTTTTCACTTGTTTCTCTGTGTCCCTTATGCTCCTTCTAAAATTATTGGGGACAGCAAAGTGAAAACCGATTATTTTTTGCAGTTTGTGATTGTGAAATTAATGAATGTTTTAGTTTTGGTAATTAAATTAATACAATTGATCACATTAGTACAAAAAAAAACTTTTACGTTCAATCCAGAAATACTTTGAATTTTTGGGGGGTGTCAGATCTGCTCAATTGGATTTAAATCTGCAGATTGACGACCAGATTTTCAATTTTTTCCTGCTAGTGAACTCCCATGTTTTGGGCCACTGTAGTGCTGCATGGTGAAGCACAACCCTTTAAATATGGGTGCACTTTCATCTACATGAGAAGATGAAATGTTTTGTGTAAACTTCAGAATCCATTCTGCTGCTGCCATTGTTAATTACAGTAAATCATCAATCCAGATGAGTGAGTTGGTCCCAGAGGTGCCCATACACATCCAGTCCGGGACTCATAGCTCCTGTAGTTTTGTTTGGAACATTTGCAGGTGTATCTTGAGATAATCTGTGTATAAGACATTGTTCCAAAACTCATCAGTCCATTTTCTAACTGCTTCTTTCGATTCCCGGACAAAGGGGAGACAGAGCCTATACTGGCAAGCAGCGAGCATAAGGCAGGATATACCCTGGATGGGCCACTAGTTTATCACAGGACACACACAGACACGCACACTCACACCAGGGCCAGTTTTCCCTGAACCCAGTTAAGCTGCCAGTATATTTTTGGATTATGTGAGGATTCTGAAGCACCTGGAGGAAACCCATGTGAACATGCAAACTCCACACAGATAGCACCCCAGGTCCAGAATTGATCACAGGGCCCCAGCGCTGAGAGGCAGTGCTACTAATCACTGCTCCACTGTGCTGGCTTTTCCTTGCTCATCTTTCTGCTTACTGCAAATTCTGAAGCACAGCAGAAGTAGTGTCATGTCTTCAGCATAAATGACCGCCTCTGTAGCTGGAATTAGATTTAAATCCAATTGAGCAGCATTTTACACACAAGAAAAATTTTACAAGCATTTTACAAGACAAAATAAAGAAGTCTGGGCACCCCATGAATGGATAAGAGCTCAGTGTCTGCAGCAAAGCAGCTCCAAGATTACCCAAGGAGTTTGTTGAGCTCACTGTGTTGCAGACCTCAAAAAGTCTATAGGAGAAGCACAACTAAATAATGACTACTGTACTTTGAAATTCTCTGCCCCAATACATATGGTCATTTGACATTGAGGTTGAACACAAAGTGCGTATTTGTTCTTATATGGTCAAATGTTTCTAAGGAATTGCTTTAAAATATAATGTACATTTACTTATCATTCATTTCATCTCAAAACAACAAACAGAAATTGCTTGACTGTAAAACAAAAATAACTCTGTACTTTGTTGTCTCAGTATCTTTGGAAGAGCTTCCCAGAGTTCAGAGCAAAAGTTTACCATTTCCAGAAAACAGATTTTAAAGGAATGCGACAAATAGCAGGATATGAAATCAGTAGAAAATCGATGGTAACAGTTTAAACAGATTCTACTTAAAGCTCAGAACGATTTTTTTATTCCAAAATTGAATAACATCATAAGCCAAAAAAACAGTGCCCCAGATGGTTCAAGAAAACGATGAGGAAGAATTATAACAGAAAAGAGTGCTTTACAAAGCCAGCAGGATCGAATTTAACATAGTCCGATGTATTGCAGGTACAGGTCAAAAGGAATATTGCAATTGAGGCTAAAATTAATAAAAAGTTCTTCCAGTACTCCGACTGAAAAAGAACTCTCGAGGATGAAGTAAAATATTTCCCGGAGAATAATGGGAAACTTCTTGACAACAAAAGCGAAATGGCTGATGTACTCAGGAGTATTTCTCTTAGGTGTTCACTAGGGAAGATGTCAACAACAGGCCTCAGGCAGTGGAAGTACCAGGCTCTGTACTGGATACTGCTAGAACAGAAGAGGGAGAGTGTATTAGATACTAGAAGCACTGAAGATTAATGAATCCCCAGGGCCCGATGGTATCTAACCAATTGTAGTTAAGGAAAAAAGAGACGTTATTCAGAAGCCATTGACGCAACTCTTCCAAAAGTCCCTTAAGACAGGGGTCATACTCGGGGACTGGAGAAATGCCAGTGTAGTGTCCATCCATAAGAAAAGTGGGAAAAATGAACTATGTAATTATAGACCTATGATTCCAAGTCATGTGGCACACAAGGTCAAGGAAATGATTATTTCAAGATGATCACCTGTGGGGAAATTATATCCTAGGAAAGAAATAGAAAAGCATTTAGAAAAGGAAGGCCTTGCCTTGAATTGAATTGTTGAATTGTTAGGGTTCTTTGAGCAAGCATCTACAGTAATGAATATACCAAGGGCTTACGTTTTTATTTAGATTTTCAATTAATTATTAATTCTCAAATTGCAGTAGGTAGGTATTCAAGTAGATGAGTGTTTGGATTGAGAATCAGTTATGAAACAGAGAATGGAGGGTACAGGTAAGGGGTGCATACTCCTATTGAGCTGATGTACCCAGCAAAGCACCACAGGACTCTGTATTAGAGCCACTACTGCTCTTAATTTATCTCAGTGATCACAGAATAGTTATTGAATGAATCATGTTTGTAGACAGTTTCAATTTCAACACTGTAGAAGCTGCAAATCAAATTAATAAAAGATGTAGGTAATACCACTACAGGTAGTAATAAGATAGCTTATAAATACCAAGAAGGAATTGCTAAGTTAGAAGAGGCTAATGATAAAAAAAGAGTTGTTTACGTTGCCGCATCATTTACATCTTGTGGGCAACGTGGGGAAGCAATTAAAAAGAAAAGACAAACCAAATGCTAGAATATATAGGTAAAAATGTATAATTTGAATCTAGTAAAGCCTTATTTAGAATGTGTTTCACAGTTTTGGCTACAACATTATAGGACCGATATTGCTACTTTGGGATCAGTGCAGAGAAGAGCAAGCTAGTGGGAACAGCACTTCAGTCTGCAACAGAGAAGACTACGTGGGGACCTGATATAAATATGAAATCTTCTAAGGCACTGACAAAGTCAACTCAGTGGATCTCTTGAGATCCAACAGTGAAACTGTTGGGCCGGGCCCAACAAGGTGTTGAAACGGGCTCAGTGGAAATTAGAGTCAATGAGCCAGGATATGCAGAAATCAAGATTATCTATTTGAAGACCGAAGACTACTGAGAAATACTTCTGAGAGCCTGAGACAAACTCAAAGCAGGGTTAGTGACTCAATATCTGAGCCCTGAGGAATGATTCCTCAGGGCTTAAATACTGTGCAATGTTCCCTAATTGGCCTGATAGGCCCGGCCTGATCTCGTTGAGGATGGCCCCAGTAAGTCTCCAGCATGTGCGGAATGCGCATTGACAATTGGTGGAGCTAATGCAGCAGTGCTGGATATCGTTGGGGCATAACAGCAACACAAACCAGAATACACAAGTAGAACCTTCATGGAAGTGCATTTAAATTGAGAACAGGAGGCACTTGTTTACAAGGGGTTGTGGGAATGTGGAACAGCTGATACTCTCTCTTCCATCAGGAAACAGTTAGATGATATTCTTGGATCAATTAACTATCAACTATCAAATGAGCAAAATGGGATGAATCACCTCATCGTGATTGTAGCCTTTCTCACGTTTTTAAACTGAAAGACACTGTGACTCACCATAACTACAGGTGCAACTCGCAGGCTTCAGTGTTTGGTCTCCTGCTTTGTGGTTCTTTGTCTTATTTCTTCTAGTGCTGTGCAGCTGGTTTGGCCAACTCTCTGGGCTGCATGATTCTTGACTGTTTCTCCTTTTGTCTTCAGTGTGTAAGTTCAAAGCCCACAAGCGCTGTGCCATCAGGGCAACCAACAACTGTAAATGGACCACTCTGGCTTCCATCGGCAAGGATATCATCGAGGATGAGGATGGGGTAAGACTGCCTGCTGTGCTCTCTAATGCAGCGTTACTGACACTGGAAGCTCTGCTCAGAATAGTACTCACTGTTGGAGGACCTGAGCTATCTGTCGAGCTTGCCTGCTGAAGGGTCTCTGTACTTGGCCAAAATTCTGTATCAGTTATCGTGTAGGAAAGATTCATCTCGGCCTCTTTTCATCGAACGTACAGCATCAGCAAATAAGTGACAACTCTTAAGAAGAGGGAAGGGGTCGGTTGTAGTTGCAAACCAAAAAAGGCGTTTCAAAATCATCTATAAAGACAACAGGTAAAACGGAGGTCTGTGTAAGTTTGTTCATTCATGAGAAACGTGTACATTTACAAGAAGATGGGCATTTCTAAGTAAGGTTACGATATGGAAACCACAGGCTTGCTAAGCCGAGCAATGTGCAGAGATCGGTAAGAGACTTATGAGAACTGACAGATGTAGCAGATAAGAGAAAGCCACAGATGCGTCTTCAGTGTAAATCTGGAGGCTGTTTTAACCGTGACTGCCGATAAGTGACAATGCGCCCTTTCTTTGAGACGAGAGGTTTCGGAGGAGTTCGGCGTCAGACCGAATACAAACGGCTCAGATTGGGCTTTGAGCTGTTCAAGCTCTGTATTGTGGCGTTTGTGTTGTTTCTCCAATATGTCTGCTCCCTGCAGATTTCCATGCCTCACCAGTGGCTGGAGGGGAACTTGCCGGTCAGCGCCAAGTGCACCGTGTGTGACAAGACCTGTGGCAGTGTACTGCGCCTGCAGGACTGGCGCTGCCTGTGGTGCAAAGCCATGGTAAGACTCCAGCAGCCAGGACCTCTGCTCACAGCCCTGCATCTGATATAATAGAAATCATAGCATAAAGCCCATAATATACACTTTTCAAAAGTGTTTTCAGTGCTTATAGGTCTGGATTGTTTTGTTGTTCTTTCATTAATAAATAACAGTTAATGGCTGGTGATGTTTGTCTTTTAGTTTAAATGTTAAAATGTAAAAAATTTATTAAAAGCTGTACTTCTGCGTTTCACAAATAATCATTAATTCTATTCTTGATCTTTTTCTTTACAAATCCATAATGGGTGTGTTTGTCATTGCGTGCTTTTTTCATGTACTTCAAATTATATTAAATACAAAACCTTGGGCCCTAGACAAAAGCCTGTAGTCACTGGTAGAAATCCGCCCATCTGTGTTCGAACTGCTTTGTCCAGTTCAGGACCGCAGTGGAGCCAGAGTCTATCCCCACAAGAAACAGGACAGGGCACACTCTGGATGGGACACAAGTCCATCACAGCACAGACACACACACTTTTTCCAGAAGCCAACTCACTTACCAGTATGTTTTTGGACTGTGCGAGGAAATGGGAGTCTCCTTACAGCCAGACTGGTTGTGGGATTCCAGGTCTCTATGAGTAACGTGTTGCCATTCGTGTGTAGTGATTTGTTTTATCTTGCTGTGATCACCCTCAATGCATTATGAAGAGCATTGTCGGTCAGCAGTGGGTTGAGAGAAAGTTTGACACCCTCTAAGAAAGTGTCTTCAAACGTCACATTAGGGGGCAGGATATACATGCAATATTGATTTTGGGATTGTTCCTCTGTCTCAGGTACACACAGCGTGTAAAGAGCTCTTGTCCAATAAGTGTCCGCTGGGTCAGTGCAAAGTGTCCGTCATTCCCCCAACTGCCCTCAACAGTATCGACTCAGACGGTGAGTAATAGCTCTCTGAAGTTATTCTCCATTTTCCTTTAGACAGCTCTATCTTCACTCGATCAGTACAGGCATGGGAGACTTCTAATGAGAATCAAGTTCCTGCTCTGAGTATAAATAGGCACACCAGTAGACCATATAAGTCCCTCTGGACTAAAATGTCCTGACTGGTATCCAGTGTAGTGACAGGAAAACCCTACTTCAAGGGTACTGTTCCCATGTTTACATGGCCTCTCAGCTTTGATTTTATTTCTGACTGAATAGCTCTTGCTAGCTGACTAGTTGATGAGCTGATGCTGTATTAGGCACCCCCACAGTTACTGTTGGTTCAGTTGGTTACATTTCAGGCATCACGCCTGAATGATGGCAGCCCTGAAACTCAGAAACCCATACAGGGTGGATAGCAGTTACAAACCCCATTTGAGCTTTTAAGAACTCAAAGCAAATTTACAAATGCGCCCCAGATAGAAAGCTGAAATCAGTAAGCCTGCGATTAAGCACTTATCTGGCGGAAGAACAGCGTTCCTCCAGGACCGTTTGGGATTGGCCTAGAGGACTTCCGTGAGCGCACAGAATGCCGTTTCGCGGGTTAGAACAGAGATCTGATATAGTAGAGATCTGTGTTTGGCTTTTATGCCAGTGTTCATTCAGTGGTTCCGCTCTCCTCTGCCGGCCAGGTTTCTGGAAGGCCACCTGCCCTCCTTCCTGCACCAGCCCCCTCCTCGTCTTCGTCAACTCCAAGAGCGGCGACAACCAGGGGGTGAAGTTCCTGCGGCGCTTCAAACAGCTGCTCAACCCGGCCCAGGTCTTCGACCTGATGAACGGGGGTCCCCACCTCGGGTAAGACGGACGCCTGCGTCTTCTCCTGGCACTCCCCTCGTTTCCGGCCTGTTTTCGGTCTGGTGCGTGCAGGTGCAGCCCTCGGGCGACTAACACCAGGCTCCGCGGCGTCCGAGGGACTTCCTTCCCTCGCTTGCTATTTTCCACGTTTCTTCCCCCGGCCGCCGTGTGTGTTTTGTGCTTCTCCTGAGGCGGAGCTCGGAAGCTAAGCGATCTCACCTTTGTGTGTATGTGTGTGGGCAGCTTGCGGCTCTTCCAGAAGTTCGACACTTTTCGCATCCTGGTGTGCGGTGGGGACGGGAGTGTGGGCTGGGTGCTGTCGGAGATTGATGCTCTCACTCTGCACAAGCAGGTATAGGGCCTTTTTCATTCCTCCTTGAGCTTGTGTACGTATATAACCACATAACCATCCCAACTCCCACATTCCTTACCCTTAAAACCAAAACCAAGGCCACTGACGGCAGGGAGTGTGGATGTTTGGAGGCTCCTGTTGCGTTTTTAAATGAGGGGATTGGTAACCGCTACATTTAAGTCGGCTTTTTCATGTGGCCGAATTCAAAAATGCAACAAAGCCTTTTTGTTTTCTCTAACTCACAAAAGGGCATTTCTGATCCGACAGGCAGAAATTCCTAAAATGAGCAAAACAAACATTTAACTTGTGCCTCTGTAACAATGGTTAAAGCGCAGGATATTTTATTTTTCGGACACTGAAGGATCCCAAGTGGACAAAAGTCAGTGTGCAGTGGGGACTGTTTCGGGCTCTTTCAATGTGTTCAGTTGAGTCATACTGCTCTCTAGTGGAAGAAAGCTGCAATAAACTTCCACAGTCAAACATGTCAGTTTTTCTACCTCTTGGTAGATGCGGATAGAGTAAAGATTTAGGTTTAGTTAAGAGTCCCACAGATAGTGGAACATACTGCTCTTCCTGTTCTTTACCTAAACTCCGCATTGGAAACAGTAAAAGTAAGGCAACTGCATTCTTGTGTTCTACACGCCGGAGTTTTAACTCTTGGACCTTTTATGCTCCCGCGCTTT